TCCAAGTACATATCTGCTTAACACTCCCCCCTCCTCTCTCTCTGCCTATTTATATGTACATGCACACAGACGCAATAACGTGACGCAACCACACTATAAAGAATTAAGAATGAATTGTTCCGCAGTCGACAGGAGTTCCTCATTAGACGTGTAAAAAAAAACAAAAAAACTCCTCTTCAGGTTTTACTCCTTCTTGTAAGAAACTCTCGTTCTTACAGTGGGAAGGTTTCAGCCATTAATACTTTGATAAGCTTTCCTCTTATATATGCCTTTATCCGCGCTAATATATTCCCAACAACCGCAAATATAAATAAAGATGGATGTGTGTTTTTTGAAATTCGTAAATTAAGGGTCAGTTCAAGATAATATAGCAGGTACACACTTGACCTTCGCGTCGAGGTAAAAAAGTGACCTTGGCCTTACCCTCCACCCCCTACCCCTCTCATTTCGTTTTCTTTCCCTTTCTTGCCATGATTTCTTCTCATCTTCTCTCTCTTCTCTCTCTTCTCTCTCTTCTCTCTCTCTCTCTCTTCTCTTCTCTATATTACTATATATATATATTATATATATATATATATATATATATATATATTATATATATATATAATAATATATATATTATATATATATATATATATAATATATATATATATATATGTGTGTATATATGTATATATGCACACATGTAAAGAAAAAAAAAAGAAAAAGAAAAGAAAAAAAAATATATATATAACACACATTATATATATTTATATATATATATGTATGTATGTATATGTATATATATATGTATATATAATACATATATATATATATATATACATATATATATATATATATATATATATATAATATATATAGCAGAGATAGATAGATAGATAGATATAGATATACACAGACACATTAAAAGTGTGTTCTCCCATGTATGTACATGTATATACTGGTATATGTGTATAATCTCAACTATGTATACGTATCATGTTACTTTTTCCTGTATCTTACCTTTCCACGAATCGCGGTCGAGCATCACTGAACTGGTTTTACAAGAGCACCCACGTTGCAAAAAGAATGGAGGTTGAATGGAAAAAAAACTAGATTAGAAAAAATCTTACACAACCTTACATTGCATAACCTGAACGTTCAAGTCACATTACTGCACGTTTTGGGTCAGACCAGAGGTGGGATAGAGGTGAAATGATCTGTAACGCATGTACGTACAACTCACACATGCTGACACAAACAAATACACACACGTGCATACACAGACGCAAACATATACACATAGATGCATAGACACAGACGTATACACAGAAATGCAGAGAAACAAACACAAACACATACAGATACGTACATACACCCGAACGTACCTTAAAGAAAAGAAAAAAGAAAAAAGGGGAAAAAAAGGGTACACCCCCCACCCCCCCTCGAGCTCTTCCCTGAACACACTCCTTATAAATAGCAGCGGTTCCTTGTGCTGTTGTCCCACTCAGCCACAGACTGTCCTGTTAACTAGAGTCTTGTTCATTGAAGGTTTTATTTTTCTCTTCAGCTGTCCTTGTTGCACCGGAACCTCGATTCGACACGAAATAGTCCGTTTTTCTTCGCGTTTTGCAAAGGGTGTGAGTATTGTGTTCTCTCTCCGTTTCGTCTTTATCCTGGATTTGTGTTTATCTTTTGTTTCTTGTTATAGATTTGCTATGCATTTCACTCTGGGATTGTTTTAGTTTTGCTCGGTATTACTCCGTTTATTCGTCTATCATAAAAAAAAAATACATTTAAAAAAAGTTACGACATTTAATATTTGAGACAAAAAAACTAACGGAAAATACCTTTGTCTTTGCGTGCGAGTGCAATCGCTTTTTTTTTCACAACATACAACGTGACCTTAATGAAAAAGTGTAGAAAATAGGAGAAATAAGCCTAAAATAAGTGTTCTTTTTCCCTTTCAAAACGGAGTTATTTCGAAAACATTATTTTCCTTGATGGAGATTCAACCCTGATGATTTTTTTCCCTTCAAGAACGGCCGTTTATGTGGATATCTATGATCTGTTGATATATTTGGTGTGTGTGTCGATTAGATTTGAACTCATAATCAATTGTTTTATGATAGAGCAATGCATGACACGTGATATAACACAGAGGTGGATAGAGAGACGGAAATGCATGTATATATAGATACATATATGTACATACGTAGTAACATATATGTATACTCGTATAGACATGTACATGAACACATACACCTACATCCCCTTTTAACACAGATACGCACACACACACACACACACACACACACACACACACAACACACACACACACACACACACACACACACACACACACACAAATATATATATATATATATATATTATATATATATATATATATATATATATACATACAAAGAGAGAGAGAGAGTTAGATATATAATAGATAGAAAAAAAAATATACACATATACGTACACAAGAGGAAATCATATGCCGAGCAAAAATCCATAGTCATATTCCTGTTTTAAAATCCCCAAGCATGTAAATTGGCGTCGCATTATTTTCGCGCATTTTGGAGCAATTTTATCTTAGCGAGTCATTACGGAACTTGGCTGTCTTCATCTGTGTTATGGTTTGCTGTTCCATGATATCTGAGAGAAAATAAGGTGGAGAGAGAGAGAGAGAGGGAGAGGAGAGAGGGAGAGGGAGAGGGAGAGAGGAGAGAGAGAGAGAGAGAGAGAGAGAGAGAGAGAGAGAGGGAGAGGGAGAGGGAGGGAGGGAGGGAGGGAGGGAGAGGGAGGAGAGGGAGGGAGGGAGGGAGGGAGGAGAGAGAGGGAAGGAGAGAGAGGAGAGAGGGGAGGGAGGAGAGAGGAGAGGAGAGGAGAGGAGAGAGAGAGAGAGAGGAGAGAGAGAGAGAGAGAGAGGGAGAGGGAGAGGGAGAGGGAGAGAGAGAGAGAGAGAGAGAGAGAGAGAGAGAGAGA